TCATATTCTTTAAACTTGTATTTAAAATATGAATCTGATTTTCTAAAAATTGACATCTATCTTTAAGCTGATTACATTCTTTGCAAATTATATCCAAATTTGACTCTAATGCTTTAACATCTGCCAAAGATAATTCATTTTTCACAACTCTTTGTCCCATTCTTCCTCTCAATGCACTTCTTCCACCTCCACTCATTGTTCCTGATAATTCAATTAACTCGCCTTTCAATGTAACTACTCTGAAACGTTTATAACCATATGCAATGTGCGTTGCTTGATCTAAATCATTTGCCACTAATGTATCTTGCAATGCATAATAAAATGCTGGTAATACTCTTTCATCTTCAACTTGTATAAGCTCAAATAATCTTGGAACATTCTCAGGAGTTTGTATCTTTTGTTTACATTTTGATAGTAAATGCTGTTGCTTTTCCAATGGTATAAATGTTGCACGTCCAATATCGTTTTCTCGAAGAAATGTTATACAAGTCTGTGCAGTTGTTACAGTATCGACTACAATGTTATCTAAAGGAGCACAGGCTGTTGAAACTGCAATGTCATATTTGCTATCTATAGCACCAAGATCACCCTACATGTAAATAAATACATCTCAATATTTTTATTATACATATATATTACAAAATACTTTTATTAAAAAGATAACTATAATTTTAATGCACGTTATAATAATTATACATTATAAATAACATTATAATAATAACCATTGTAACAACAAATATACAGTGTCCCATTTTCCTGCGCAATTATCTTCATAACTATTCATTGTTTGAAAAAACAGACCTGTTTTATTTCGACGAGGATATCTTACAATGACCGTTAGATTTGCTAAATGAAAGTCTCTGAAATCTCAAGGTCAACTCTGTTTTTCTAACAAAGTGGAATCATATATCTTTTTACGGATCAATGAATAAAACTCGATATTATCCACAAAGTACTAATCTATTATTTTTGTCTTTCTCCATATTTCGTACGATAAATTTTATAAAATTAAAATTAAAATATCTCCTAAATTAATAATTTTTTAATAATTTTTGAATAATTTTACATAGACAAATAGTTCTTTTATAGAGAATGTTGCGCTTTATCGATCAATGCATAAAAATATATATATTTATTTTAAAACACAAAAATGATTTTAAAATCTCGGAAATCACTTAGACAAATCTAATAATAATCGTAAGATGTCTCTCTCGAAATATAGTAAGTTTTATTTAAAACATTTTTTACAACAAATACTTTTGGAAGTAATTGCGTTTAAAATTAAAATGCGACTTGTATATATCATTGTAAGATAGCAAAATCCTTCATTACTCACTAATATGGAATAATACTAATTCTTTGAATTTCATGAAGTTTTGAATTGCATTGTAGTATATGGAAAAATTATTATCAAAAAGTCATTAACTAATTAATAATTTTTTTTAACTTTTTCAATGCAAACATAAAATGCTAAATACGATATTAGGATATCTTGTTCGGATTAAATGTCTAAATCATTTCCACTACTATCAAATATAAAAGAAACTAACTAAAATGTATTCAAGTTCCACCGAAATCACCTTGAAGATTATTGTAAGATTATAGACACTGATAACGTGTAACATTGATATATCAATCATAATTAAAATATAGTAATTGAAAAAAATTCAAAGATACGATATTGAAATGACCTTGATCAATATTTAACGATATTAAATCATTATTAATTTACATACCAATCTTCCAAAAATACCGACAATTCGACCTTCTCTTTTTTCTTTCATCAAACTCTCTATAATTATATTCTTCGACTTATTTGCTTGCATAGCAAATTTTTGTTCTTCAATTGAAATTCTCATTCCTTTTAACTTTGAAGTCATTTCAATTTCCTTTGTTTTCACCTGTTTTGATTCTTGTTGCATCTTTATCAACTCTTTTTCACTATACGGGATTTTGTTTTCTAAACTGTGCAGTTGTTCATTTCGTGCCATTAAATTATCCGTTGTTATTTTCAACGAATGTTTTAATCTTTCTAGTTTTTCTTTTTCAGTCGATTCTATGGAAATATACAGTTCCAATTCAGACTGAGCAATATCGAATGCCGCTTGTGCTTGATCAACATTCTTTCTTAAAGATATTAACTTTTTTTCAAGCTCGGAGCGTTCATTCAATAGCGGCTTAGTTTTCTTACTTAATTCAACCATCAACTTTTCTAATGCCGCTTCCTCTTTTGTCTTACTTTTTGAATGTTTTTCAACAAATTCCTCACATTCTTTGATATCTTTTATATTTTTTTCCGAGACTTTGTATAATTCTTCTAATTTAGATTTTTCCTACAGAAAACAATCAATCATTTATTAAAATTAACAAAAGTAATAGGTGCTAATTCTTTTTACAGAATCATGATAAAATAAATTTTACTGTTTTTAAAGATGTAACGTTAGCTTTTCGTCTTTTATTTGTTTCCACTAATTCTGCATGAAGTGATTCGTCATATTTTCGGATTTTATCAAATTCCGCTATAATTTCATCCTTTTTTTTCTGTACATTGTCCCGTGCTATATTTTCCTCTTTGATCACTTTATTTTTTTGCTCTTTTTCATCATGAACTTCTTTCATTTTGTCTTTAAGCTCTGACAAATCTTTATCCAATTCATTTAGTTTATTCTCTTGTTGTGTAATTTCTTTAGACATTTCGTATCTAATAAAAAAGTTTGTTTTAAAACTTAAACACAGTACACTTTCTAAAAAGGATTACCTTTGACAACAATATAGTTGATACTGTAATTTTGCAATTGTATTTTCCAATTGCAAGTATTGAATAGCTTTTTGCATCGGTTCTTCCAAAGTTGCTTTTTCTTTCTCGACAATCTTAAGACGGTTTAACTTTTCCACCCTATGTTCTGATAAAAATTCTATTTTGTTTGACAGTTTTATCAATGGTTCTTTATAACGAACTGTTCCAATTATATCTTCCAAAAACTCAAGCATACCAGTATCATTTTCATTTTGAGCCTTAGGCTTCATCAATGCTATTTGTTCAACTTCTCCCTATCAACATAACATAATATAATATAATATAATAAAGTAACGCGAAGTAATATAAAATTATGCATTACAAAGTAATAGTAATAAATAATAAAGCGTATACTTGTAAAATTAGAAAACGATTATGATCCAAATCTACACCATAAGATCTCAAAAGTTTTGCAATCTCTTTGAACTGTACTTTTTTCTTGTTTAATTCATAATAAGATGAATTATCTTTAAATGCTGTTCGAGATATAAAAAATTCACTATTCGGCACAACGTCATAATTTGCGTCCAACTAAAATAATATTAATTTATAAAACTAGAGAAGAATAATTAATGTATAAAAATAAATTTGTTTTAGAAAGTATATAACTTACTTTATCAATTATTTGTTGGAAATATATAGATACCGTACAGCTATTAAGATTCTGATATTCATTTGAATTATGTATTAAAACTGAAATTTTTTTCGATCGAATCTTGGACGCTCTATACCCAAATACAAATAACATTGAATCTATAACATTACTTTTACCACTACCATTTGGCCCAACAATCGCTGAAAAACACTAAAAATAAAAAAGTCAACAATGCTCTAGTTTTTAATGCATTCAGTTCTTTTAATAATTCTCGTTGAATTTTTATAACTATACTGTAATATTTACCTCGTGAAACGGGCCAATAACTTGCGTACCTCCATAACTTTTGAAATTTTCATTAACAATTTTAGTAATCATTAATCTATTATCATCAACATCAATTTCGTTAATTGCTTTAAGAGGTGGTGGTATATATATATCATCATCTACCCTCATACCACCTTCCTCGTCTTCGTGTAAAACATATTCTTCGTTAACGGCTTCAAGAGAATCATCTCTAATTAGATTTCCTTCAGCCATTCTATTTATAAATATACGATATATCTTTCATTTATAACATATAATCTGCATTAAAAAGCATAAACTTATATTGTAAAATTACTATTTACAGGTTAGAAATTTATTAATATTCAGAAAATAAAAATATGTTATTAATTAATCACATATTTTCCATAAATTATTAATCTCGTTCAAATAGATTAAACAGCTTATTATACAAAAGAGCAGAACCAAAAATAATTGATCATCTATATGTTATATCTTGCAACTTACCTTCAATATTATCATAGAAATCACAAATGCACTGCTCAAATAAAATTTTAGTTTACATTAAGATACGTATGATTTTATTTCCAAATCCATTATCAATGTTATTATTATTTATTTACTATCGTAATATTATTATATATATTCCATTCAAAAGTAACGTTTTCAAAGCACGCTGTATCAAGTTCAAATTTAAATAGTAACGTACACAATGCATACGAATATATATATATATATCTTATGGCGCGTTTAGATCAAGCAAACAAATGCTCGTTCACAATGGCTTCGAACAAATTCGTGCTTATTTACAATATTAAATAGTAGACTCATTAGTGTAACAAACGAGTAATTAAATAGAGCAACTAACATTTTCTGTATTTCTACGATAATAATTTCTACGACAACGTTTTTATTTAAACATTTTTCTTCTTTTCATTCTATTTCATATTCTTTTTTGCGTACAACGTACGGATACTACCGAAATAATGACTAAAAATTTATGTATCATTTCATTTAAAAAAATTAGGAACGACACTTGTTTCATTCTTTTCTACAAAACACTTGCGCAACTACTTATGTTCTAAAGTATTCTTTCTACGTTATACTCTACAATATTATCCACATTATTCTTAACTAGCGTATTAAATTTCAAATTAATATTTACAATGACTTCAGAACCGATAACATCTTATGCGTTCGCAGTTTACAGTTCCTAACCTAATATATACAGTCCCATAATACCTGTCGCTAATAACCTCGGGAGGTTGATATATTAAACTCAAAAAAAAAAAAATATATATATATATATAAAACTCAAAAACATATATATATATATAACATATATATATTATTTTAATATAGCACATAATGTTTACAATCCTTTTTTTTATGATTATTTACAATTAGTTAAATGCTTTCAAAAAATTACAAAAAGAAATTTTTCTAATATTTTATTTTTATTGTGCGTGCATGCGTGTGTTGTACGGGGTATATATAATATATATTTTTAGTTCGTTACGATGCACTCGAGAAATTAGAATAAAAAAACTTTCATATACGTCGGACTCCGTGGCGCAACGGTAGCGCGTCTGACTCCAGATCAGAAGGTTGCGTGTTCAAATCACGTCGGGGTCAAACAAGGTCTGTCATTTTTAAATTTTTTTATAAAAAATTAATTTTTCAAATGTATAAAAAATCGTATGTTTTTTTATATTAAAAATGTTATAAAATAATCAGTCAATCACATGTAAAAAACCTAATTATAACTTTTTTCTGTTTGTTTACGTTCAATGTTACAAATACATATAGCTACTAATATATCTAGAATATATTATATATATCACGAAATAAGCTTGAATCAATAATTAGCGATAATGTAATATTAATATCGTTTTTCTTATATTTCCAAACATATGTTTATAGATTTGTACATATATAATATAATATAATATAATATAATATAATATAATATAATATAATAT